ATTTAAAGGGAAAAACGCAGAGAATAAAAAAACAGGTGCTAGGTATACTAGACAGTTATTATTTTTATAATACTGGCTTGTCACTCCACAGTGGTATACACTATCACCCTTTTAAACTAATGACGACGCGTTTGGCTCAGTTTGTAATGACCCTACTTGATGTGCCAGCGGTCGCGGGTTCGAGCCCCGCTGCAGGCATTCATTTGTGTGATGAGTACGTATGTTCATACTCCAGTCATGGATGTTCATATTATTAATTAATAAAGACATCGAGTAAAATATATACATATTATTATATGTATTTTACTCGATATCTTTATCAATTTTTAATCGATTTTCATAATTCTTTTCTTACAAATAGGCTATAATTCAAGGATAGTCTATGTTTTTGAGACCAATGTACCTTTTTAGTTAAAAAGTAATTATGACTTGTTGTTTTAAATAATAATAATGATCACCATAAGAAAATTTTAAGGTGCCTCGACATACAAGCATAAATTTTCAGAATAGTCGGCTGTTGTTTAGACTTTGTTGTAAGCAATAAACCTGGAATAAGACGTCAGTGTTGAAGGTTCTTTTATTAATGTCGTATACAAAGGTTAGGGCAAGTACTTATTCTCTTGAGTATCTGCTGTACATTCATTCCTTTTTCATAGTATGTGCATATTGTTGTATTATTATCATTATTATAACATAAATGTATAAAACAAGTAAGGGAACACACTTATACACACACACACACACATATATATATATATATATATATATATATATATATATAAAGTGTTTACATATATATACACTTTGTTTTTAGTGAGACAGTCAATAAACTTTAATAAACTGTCAAACAAAAATATAAATAAAAAAAATTGTGTGTCTACTTTATGTACACACGTAAGAAGTTATACTTTTTTGTCGTATTACAAAACAAAAATACTTAGCTAAAGATTTCATCCTGTATGTCACAACTCTCTGCTTGTAAAAGCAATGCAGCTAACTTCATCTCTTTTCTTCTAAATCATGTTGCTATTTGGCTGTCGGTGTGCGCGCGCATCGTAAAAATTTTACTCTCATATTTTTTTCCAAACGTGCCAAAAGAAGTATAACTGCAAAAAAATATTATATTTACACACTATATCATATATAGATACATATAGATGTAACTTATGTAAGTATAATAATATTTACTTATTATTTAAGTCTGCTACGAAATATATATGTCGGCTTTAGACACACAAATGTTCTCATTATGTAGCCTTTTAAGCAAATCTGTATTAAAGCACGCAATATGCTATTAACCTTTTCATTATCAGAAATGTAATTTTACTTGTATCATAATTTTTCACGTTGCATTTATACATAGTCGTAACAGATATTTACAGGAACAAAATGCCTTTAAGGTCGCGATCAACATATACGACCAAGGGTCAAGGCTTATTGCTCTCTACACTTAAAAATCTATTAAACAAAAACTTTAAACACGGAAGAATATAAAACAAACGTGTCAACTAATCCGGAAGGAGGAAATATCAATTTAGCTGGGCTCGAATCGATTGGATGTAGGCTACAATCATTACACTACACTGTGTGTTATGAATATACGATGTTTTTAGACCTTAACTGTTTAAAGAATACGATTAATAACCACATTTTTTTTTACTTATAGCTTATACTACTTGAATTATATATTTAAATAGTGTTTCTAATAAATTTTCACAAAAAAATGTGCTAAGTTTCAAACAATGTCAATCAGAAATAGGTATTCTCAGCTGTTTGTTGCACATTTTTAATCCTTAAGATATCCTTTAAACCGCTATAGCATTTTTTGAAGATTTCCTAAAAATTCGAGTCTCTAGGTCCATCGATTTTACCTGTTTGTTCGTCGGTGTTAAGTCACGGTATTGTTGTATACATTTAAATATTCGGTTCAATAATAAAATAACACAAAAAATCCATGTAAATTTTCATTCGATTGCTTTTATAATGTAAAATAGCTACCAGTTTGTATGAAATTGAAAAAATATATATATTCTTAGAAATTAAAATGACACGCTAAGTTACTGTCCAAACAAAAACTCGTATAAAGACTATGTTAAAACTGTTTTCATAGCAATTATACATCTAATTGATATTTGTTAACATGATACAGTGGTTTGGCTGTATAGTAATGGTTATGTCTCCAAACACTGTACGCCTCCGCAAAAGAAAGTTTAGATTCGACAATACGACACTTTAAACAAGCAAAGAAGTCATTAGCAATGCTGCTTTGTGAAGATCGTATTATGTAAGACATAAAAGAATTAATATCATTTATGTCAAATGATATTAAATAGTTAATAATTATGAATAAAAACATTGCTTAGTGATAATATTATTTTTCTTTTCATTCATTTATTGATGTCATATAAATGAAATATCATATAAAAGGCAGTGGTAGTCAGACATGCAGGTTTCCTCACGATGTTTTCCTTCACCGTAAGGCAAGTGGTAATCATGTTAGAAATGATTCACACATGAAAATATCAGAAGTGCGAGACCCGGGATTTAAGCCCGCTTCACTAGGTTTCCCAAGCGAGCGCGTTACCACTGGGCTACCACTGCCTTATACTAAATAACAAAGCATGCAAACAAAAGTTAGAGGAGAATGTAACTTAACATTTTTTTGATTTTCGTTAGATATAATAATTCTTAAATAACTTTTGAATGCTACGAGTATATTAAAAACATATAAGTTGGTAGATAACATACGCTTTGTTGAATAAAAAATACACAAATTGAACCTGCGATGTTTAGTGTAGAACGCTTTACCAGTTTAGCATAAACGCCACTACACCATAACACTGTAGGTAATATTTTATAGTCAATGAAAATCAAATACGATTGAAGCACTTACATAATATTATGCAGGAGTGCGGCTGAACAAACTGACGGCTAGGCACGCTATATTTGCTATTTAAATAATTGGGTCCTTACTGTTTGATTTTCAATGAAATAAAGAAGTAAATACATATAGAAAAAATATTTCATTTGTTCTATGGAAAGTTATTTTACTTTTATATAAAATATATGTCAACTTTATTTTTATGCGAGTTATTTGTATATTTGTATGTCTCTAGTAAATGAATATTCATAAAGCAAAGTACCGCTTCATTGTACATCGACTTACTGTGAATAAATTTTTTTTATATATCTATCGATTTAAAAAAATATATAATAAAACGGTAATGGTTGAAATCTTATATTTAAATTCTATCAATTGCTTATATTAGTAAATTTTAAAAATACAGACATGTTCTTTTACATACATATATATACTTTTTGCAGTATTTTAATGTCTTGCAAGGACTTTACAATAATACTGGATAAGAAGTGACTTGTTCGGCCTTTATATCATGTCTATGAAAAAGAAACTAGCTTGTTCGTCAAAAATGAATCTAAAAACTGACATTTTTATAAATTTTATTTCTTTTATTTTATTCGCAAACAATACTTCATGTAGAAAACTAGTATCGCCTAATGGTCGGACCATAATATTAAAAAAAAAATCGTCCGACGAACACAGGATAAAACGTACTGTACTGTTTCGTCTTCGCTTATTTATATGTATGTAGATATTGATGATTATTTATTATTGCGTGTTAAGTAGGATAACTGTTACATAAATAAAATTTTGATCAATACCTACGAATTTTCTTTGTATTCACCACATTTTTTTATGTCCCACTGCTGGGCACGGGTCTCCCTTCAATACAAGACGGGGTCAGGCCATAGTCCACCACGCTGGCCAAGTGCGGGCTGGCCGACTTCACATGTCTTTCGAAAACTTGCTAGGTTTTCTTACGATGTTTTCCTCCACCGTAAGACAAGTGGTAATCATGTTAGAAATGATTCGCACATGAAAATATCAGTGGTGCGAGACCCGGGATTTGAACGCGCATCACTGAGTTTCCCAAGCGAGCGTGTTACCACTGGTTACCACTGCCCAGTGGTAACGCGAGTGGTAATGCTGAATTTTCTTTAATACAATATATTTTTACTATCCTTTAAAGAAACTATTTATACACTTACATGACTCTATATAATATAGTCATATCGCACGAATTGAAAAAAGTAATTTATTTAAAACAAAACGGTGTTATCGCTCGGGTGAAGGATTTCTCAGCGAAATAAAAAGGAGTGAAGTAGGTATACACATTGGCCCATTTTGATAAAGCCGGACAGAGATTACGTCCACTCAAGCACTCAGGTGCATGTATTTTGTGACCGTAAAGAACTTTACCTTTGTTTGTTTTTCATTCTCCAAACACGTTTTAGATCTACACACTTGTTATATGTATAGTTAAGATCAATCAATGAACTGTACGTTGGCTACGAATGTGATCTCGATATTTATCTCTCTGTAAAGTAACATTTTCTAGAAGAATAAATAAGCAAGTGAAAACTTTGTAAGGTCACCGACAAAAGTCTCGTGTACACACCATCTTAAACGCACGCACACATAAAAAAAGTTTAGCTTATAAGTTTATAATCAAGCAACGTTTTTATCTCGTAGTCGTTGGCCGCCCGCCGCAGAGCGCGCATGTTACCGGCGCTGAAGCCTCACCATAAATACGCGCGTGAAAATACTCTAGCGTTTATGAAAATTAAAAAATAACCACCCATTAGTCCAACCCGCGTCGACCGTCAAAGACGGTATACGACCGGAAAGTGTAGCATTAAAATATCGTGTGTGCATTCGGGAAAATATGAAAGTGCTGTGGAACTTTACGGTGTTTCCCTTCAGTAGCGTTCAGCGCTCTTCTTAGTTTTTTTTTTGAGTGACTACAAAGCCTATTGTTTCAAATAACGCTTATTATAGCGTGTAAATATGGGATTTTGAGTGTTTTTCTTCGAATGCATGTTTAATTATTACATAAAGTGGATTGTTCAGTTAGTAAAAGGAAAGCGGTCGAGTAATTCAGTTAGATGTATGTTAAACATATTATACAACGAGACAAAACATGACGGCAAAGTTCGGCTATGTAAGTACGAGCTTCGATTACAGTTTTACTTTTACAACGTCGTGAAAATTTTTTTCATTTCCGCCGGCCGTTATCGGGCGCATTAATTTCATTCAGTTTTTCTGTATATAAAAATAAGTGAATGGTTACGTATGCAATTCTAATATGTTTTACGTAATATAATTATGCAAATAGATACTATAGTAAATAAACACTTAAATTAGGAAATAGTTGTATAATTATAATAATCTTTCGAGTACCACCTTTAACTTGTTGTGTTATTTTGCGTTACACACTCGTATTTGAGTATATGGAATATTTTACCTGTATATTAATAACTATATTTATTATTTTACTTAATGAATTATCATTATCATTATCGATTAAGTACCTACGTATTATTATATATTTTTACAAACATATATTTAAAATGTTTTTATCATATACTGTATTTAATTTCATTTTTATAGATTTTTTTTGTATAGAATTTTCACTTTTGACGTTTCTTTTAGGAAATGGACAGGATGTGAAACCGTCACTATCGCGTTACGACCGATATGTGTGGTTACTCACAAGGAAATGTATTGTTGGTTGAATTAGAAATTGATACGTAAATGTTATTTTATATCAGAAGCCTTTCTTTAATACCACTTTGTATGTCGTATACGATGATGTTGGTGTCGGGTTTAGAGCGATGACTGTTAAAGGGGTCGTTTTAATGAGGTATTAAGTAATACCACTTAAAATTTTTGTTAGATCCCATAATACTTGTAATAGTGTATATAAATTTGTATAATTTATATAAATATATGTATATCATGTGTTTATATAAAGAAGAACTTTTCTTTTATTTAAAAAATAACAGATTGCAAGAACCAGTTTGTAAATAAAGAAAAAATAATGTTAAAATTATGTACTCGCAATTAGGTTTCTGATATTTGGATCCACATAATTTTTTAGTATAATTTTCAAGAATATTTAATCTATGAGAAAATTAAACTTTAAACGTTTTATACGTAGGTAGATAGACACAGCAAACGCACAAAATAATAAAACTAAAACATGAAATTTCATAATTTAATGATAGATACATAAAGACACGGCTACTTGTCGTTAAAGTATATTATCAAGGGTACCTCCGTGTATGGATTAACATAAAACATTGGATGTTCGCAATTACTTGCCTCCATTTTCTCCTGTAAATAAAGGGTTCTTGACTCTACAAACACTATGAAGTGGCACCTTGCAGCAATATAAATATTTATATAAACATTACGTATTAAATAAGATATTCATATTATATATAAAATTCAGAGATCTACCTTAATTTCCAGTATATTATTTTATGCGCTATATATAATAAATTTTTTTTATTGTAACTGAACAAATTAAAAAAAACAGGACTAATGACCAGACTCATTAAAATTTGTTTAAACAACGATTTTACACCTCATATTTAATAGTAAAATATTATTTATAGTGTATTATTTGTAGTATAAGAGAATGAATGTTTGTCTAATAGAAAACCAATTTTTAAAATGTTTGCCTGTCTGTCTGTTCAGGTTAATCTCCGAAACGGTTTCGATGGGACTTTCGCTGGCAGAGAGCGTATATTATATGTAGTAACTTAGGCTACTTTTTTTTAGAAAAATAATCAGGGTTTCATGCAAAAAATTAAAACCCATGAAATTGTGAACAAACATTTCACAAAATAAGGATATCCCCTATATCCTTTTAAGGCTTTAAGTTAAGCAAAATGGTATAGAGTCTACATCTAAGAAATTGTTTTGTAATGTTTGTGTTTAACTTGTCTAGCCGTTACATACATTAGCTAATGCATGTTTTGTGTATATATGTGTAGAACTAGCATGCTTCGTCCATGATGGCAAAAAATTGTCATAGTGTATATTTCACCTAGCGCAGCTCAAGTAGCGTGTTCGACAAGTATATGTAAGAAATATATAATATAGGTTTGATTAAACTTAAAAAAGAATACAAAAAAATAATAGAATTCATTTACTTAAGATTATTATCTAAAAATAGTAGTTACTTGTAGACAGAGATATGTATGCAAATGTATCATTTAACTCCTTTAACAAGCAGAAAATACGTTAATAGTGCATAAATATATCAACTTGTGCATCATTATGTCATAAAATTCATACATAACTTTATTTATATTTATAGATAAATAGATTAAGATATGTGAAAACTCAGGAAAAGTTAGAAAAATTAAATTCTAACTTTGCTATTACATATTACTAACTACTTACCCTTGCTTTGCTCGTCTGTGCCCCTTAGTTCTTTTAGTATTTATAATATTAGGCAGCGCCATCTTTTGCTAATTTTACTTAGGTACCTACTTGTCTTCAGCCCTTTTTTAACGTCCCACTGCTGGGCACGGGCCTCCCTTCAGTACGGGGGGTTTGTTACTTACTTACCTCTATGTTATTCCAGGTTATTGTCTATCTGTGCACTAAATTTTATCCAAATCTGTCCAGACGTAAAAGGAGAAGAAAAAAAGAACGCAGAATGAGTAAAATATGGACAGACATACAAATTTTCGCAATTAAAATAGCAATCTGATTAAGTAGATATACTGATTTAATATACAAAATATTATAATGCTCAACAAAATTAAATAAGTCATAACAAGAAACATCTCTAATTTATATGACGGTGCCCGATGAAGCTTATTAACGTGTTTTATGTAAATAAAAACCATTTTTATTTGTTAATAAATCCTAATCATTATTCATAATTTATTACGGCTATTACAGTTCTAGTCTAAAAGAGGTGACATTTTTATTATAATTTATTTATTGCGCAATATTTTATTTTATAATATTTTAAAGGTATATATTTTATTTTCGACCTTTGGACCACTTGTTTCTTAAAATTCTAACGTCCCTGCAATGTGCTGTTGTACTGTATATGGTGTGGTAAATCAATAAAATTATTTACGTATTTACATAGAAAACCGATGTATGTATGTATTTTCCCTATGGACTCCAAAACGGCTGGAGCGATTTTGATGACATTTACAGGCAGTCTTCAGATTAGCTCAGCGGGTGATTCTGTGAAGTTTAGTAGCGATCGGAAGTTAGAACGTGAGCCAAGGCGCGGGTAGTGCTAGTATAAGTATTATATAAAAAAATTAAAAACGAATATCTGCGTGTCGATTTGTTTGTTACGTATCTATATATTAAATTTTCAACTATCCGATTGTGATAAAACTAATATCCAAAGAAAACCAATAAATTTCACTTATTTCTTTAAATGTTGGTTAAAGTTTTTCATTCCCTCGCAATATTAAATAAACATTACACAAAAATCACCATACCCCTCCGCAAAGGCTATAATCAAATTGCCTAGCCGTAATCATAAAGTTAACGAGGGTGAATTTTAAAGGTTAAAGCCTAACACTTTTGTCTGAATCCATAATACACTTGTGCTAAAACATACTTTATGCCCTAAAAGTAAAGACTAAGTTGCTTTTTACAAAACAGTATATTTTAGAATTCCTCAGTAATTACAATTTATTATTCATGTACAAGTTTGTTCCGTTCTCGTAGCTCTTATTTCATGACTTAACCAAGGCCACATTAGCTTTGAATTTGCCGCATTTTCCCATTTTTATATTAATTAAATAGAAATTTGTATTGCGCAATATGACGTAGCGTAGCCACTACAGATCTTTTAAGTGGGCTTTCATCATTTAGGAACGGTGTTCTGAAAATGAAATACTTCATAAAAGAACACGTGGAACTGGTTAAAAAAAAAGAAAAGATAAAATTATGATCAATTTATTAACTGCACTGTAATTAAATTTAAAATGTGCTTATTTTTCCTTAATATATTAATCCCGTTATCTTGTGTCAAATATATCTTCTTTATTTTCATTCTGCAATAACTACTATTGGGTATTATAAAGCTTAGTCACTTGAAAATCTCTTTGTATTTTTACTAATACATATTCATTCAAATGTTAATCATTATCATGAGTGGATTTTTTGATCAAAACTAAACATAGCTCTTTCTAAAAATTATGAATAAAATATGATCCACATAGCTCAATTATTTCTTTTTATCTTTTCAGGTTACCACAGCTTGCCGTCTCTGCGAAGATATTGTGCCTCCTGATGGTAAGTTAAAAAATATGTATGTACCTTTTAATAAATATAAATTGAATTGGAGCATGTCATGTTATTGATGATGACTGCCTCGGTGGTCTAGTGGGTAGCATGTACGGCCACAGATCCGGAGGCCCTAGGTTCGAGTTCCGAGTCGGCTCAAGTTGAGTTTCTCTATCAAGAAACTCTTAGTAACAGCCGGGAGTTGGGAAGTTGGCGGTGTTCCATCCCCGTACGTCGGAGAGAACGTAAAGTCGTCGGTTCTGCGCCTTAACTCTCACCGGTTGTGTCGAAATATCGTCCCATCGGACTATGAGAGCAAAAGTAATAAAGAGTGTATATGGACATATAATATTTCCTGCGCATCTGGCTAGTCTCAGTCAGGGAGATTGATTTCCGTGGCCGAAACCGGTCAGATAGATATTACTGATGATCCAATACAATTAACTTAACAAAAACAGTATAAGTAAATAGTAATATTCTAGCGTAAATATCGCATCATGGTATGATATCGCAAAATCTTAATAATATAATTTACGTAATAAGTAAAAAAGGTCACTTAACCGGTATAAAAGGAGTAGTAATTTCAATTGCAACTATCATTTTATTCGCATTAGCCAAGTTTAATAGGAAAACGTCTGCCGCTCGTCCGCTTTGCGCACAGCTCTCGTCGATACGGTGCATTCTTTTTTATCTCCTATATACTAATTATAATAAATTATTATTGTATTTTTTATGTTTGGTTATTGTAAAATTAGAAATTATATTAAAAAGTATGTGTGTTTGTAATTTAATCATAATATGCCTATATATTGTAATAGTTATCCATTTAAGTACATAGCTCACACTCGTGGCTCTACATTTTAAAGAATCAATATTACAGGTTTCACGTAAATAAGTGGTTAATACGTAGAATATTACTAGTGTTTAGCGATCGCCTATCATTTGCCGTGATTGCGCACCATCCACGCGCTTGATGAAGAAATTTACTTTTAGGCTCGTGTATATTACATGCTATTTTGCACAAATATATAAAGGAAATGACTTTCTTAACTACTTTAATTTACCGGTCGTCTGACTTAGTGGTTTGAGTGACATCGGAGATAGCAGATTCGATTCCGCTCGCTGGAAATATTTATTTTAAACATATAAATATTTCGGTTTAGGAATCGATACATGGCACGAAGTGGAAGCTAGTATTTTATTAAAAAAATAACTGCAATATTAAGCTTTTTAAGATACAAAACTTCGTCTGTCTTACCTTAGGTTAGGACCTTGAACGAATGGACGGACTGAAAACATAAGGCATCTGGTACAGAACATAAAAAATAGAATTTTACTCATGTCATGAATTATAATGATTTGTTTGTTATGGAAATAGAAATATTCGTCATACATGCCTATAGTGATCTACAAACCTCTCAGGTACGAACTAAGAAAATATTTTCATACGTGTACGAGGGTGATGTAATTGCATGTTGATAAAACGTAAGAAAACTATCATATATCCGTCACACCTACGTAACATTTTTTTTATTGCTGGATAAGACATTTTATGACACGATGACAGAATTTAACCCATAATTGGCTTTAAAACAGGTTTTGTATGGGTTATTTTAGATATTGTTTTAAACTAACCACCTTTTTTTAACGTTGGGAAAAGCATTTAGTCACGAAATGTGGGACTACCGGCAAAGCTAGTACTATTGGCCAATCTTACTGAATCTAATCAACGTATAAACCCTGTAGTACAAATAGTACACTATTTTTTCCTTACACTCACAAACTTTGGTGGGATAAAAATTTGATATAACCGGAAAATTTGATATAATGCGGAGAGATTAAATTTAGAACCGATGGCTCTCCGATGTCTCCGAGGCCAGGGGTTGTAACACCGCCAACTTTTTCTCTTCTTAGGAATTTCTAGACAGAAAATTCCCTTTACCATATTTGGATCGACCGCGACTCGAACCTAGCAGCTACGGATCTGCAGCCGTACATGCTACCGACTAGACTACCCCAGTAAAAGTTAGAGAAAAAAATAATAATAGACGCTTCTATTATTATTTTGTTTCTTCAATTTGAGAAATGGGTGAATGTTTTGCTTAAAACGATAAAACTCCAGTCATAAATAAAACGAATGTCTTCTGGAAATATATTATTAAAAATATTTTTTATGTTAAAAGTCAAATCAGACTGACTAAAGCAAGTTAAAAGTAAGTGGCGCCGGCGCTAAATAAAAATAATACACATGTTATATGCGATACCTATTCAGAAAAATAAAAATTGATAAATACTTTGTTTTTCTCTTCTAAACGACGAACGCAAACAATCCAGTTATGTCTATAGGTCGAAGCGAGTTTAATCATATATGAACCTTATATATTAAATACCAGAAGTATGATACCTATAAGGTTTTTTTGAAATTGACACAATAAAATATTACATTAATTATATATTAATATTTAATATTACTAATTAATTAAATTAATATAAATTACTAATATTATAGCTATCATAAGCAGTAAATACTCTAATGATTATTTTAATTAATATAGGTACTTATTCGTTTTGATAACTTTCTAAGAACCAGGCTAGGTAGACAAGACATTTTAACAGATTATATTGGTTATGCGTGATCGATAGTTTAGCGCTAGCTGTTATGTTTACTGTGATCCTTTGTTATGAACATATTTGGTGGTGATTTACGTCAAAAATATATACCTAATAAATAACAAAAAAAAATATGAACATTGTAATACATTCTTAAATTTACTCGAATATTTGACATCTATACTTTATAATAAAATTGTAACTAAGCCGAATCTGTACATTCAATATTTTTGGAAAATCTTATTGAAATAAATATTATTATCGATACAGAGGGCGAATCTATAGCTTTTAGAATTTTTTCTTTCTGTCTGTCTGTTACCGCATCACGGAATACCACTGGAGGGATTTCGATGAAATTTGATATGATGCTAGCTGGTTATCCGGGTCAACATATAGGATACTTTTTACTGCAGGAAAATATCTCATCTCTGAGAAGTCTATACTAAAAGTCAAGACGTAAGTAGTTTTAAATAAAACAATCTTTTCGGATTTTTCGCGGATTTAGTTTGATTTTTGGTTCCCGACGTTTGGAATTACTATTATTGTTTGTAATAATTATCGAGATAATCTAATAAGATATTTTTATTTAAAATATGGACATTGTAGTTTAAAAAATCGTCAAGTCCTAAGTTTGTGAGTGATATGTATGTGTGTTTGTGACTTTTTTACGATGTAACGGCTAACTTTTGATTAAAATTCTATACTTAGCTTATGTCGTGGATTTAATACGGCGGTATGTTTTTTAAAACGTGAACAAAACTGCGTGCAAAATGTGGTATTTCATATTCCCACAGTATGCTTGGTTTTTAATAGGTCAGTTTCTGAGGTTGTAGGCATTTTTTTTTCAAAAATAATTTAAGAGTTATACTTAGTTATTTAGATACCTTATGACAGTATGGCATAGGTTCATAGACTATATAGTCTATCTATTTACATATAATATATACAAATACATAGGTAAAATGAGTTTTATATCCCTTACTTGAGAAATGACTGATTCTCCATACAAAGTTCCACCCCCCTTTTCACGCCCTTAAGGGATGATTTCCAGGCTAAAAACTATTACGTCCTTCCCAGGGTCTCAAACTATCTCCAAACTAAATTTCGTCCAAATCGGTTCAGCGAATTAAGCGTGAAAAGATAACAGACAGACAGAGTTACTTTCGCATTTATATATTAGTATGGATTTATTTATTTCATTTCATTGAAATATGGTATAAATCGAGATATGCAAACGTTCGTCTATATTATCTTCTCAAAACAATTGTTATGCCCACGTTATCTGATACGTGTGTGGTCGGCCTAATCCGTTAAATAAGGTAGTCTAAAGATAACAGATTTATGCAGAGAAACTGAACTGAAGGATGTGTCAAGTAAATTGTTCCTTTAAAGCTTCCTTAAGGTCTTGCAAATGCAAGTAAATAAATGCTTAATATTCCTTTTATTACTAGTTTTGACCGCATTGTTCGCATTGTTAGTCCGACGATAAAAACTGGCCTAAGTGCTCATTCAGCATATAAGCTATCTGCGTCCTAAATTTCACTTATATGCATAGCCAACATAAACTAATGAGACAACACAACAAACACAAAAAACATTATTAATGTTAAAAACGAATCCAAATTGATATCTGTGGATAGGTACTTAATCAGATTGAACGCATTTGATCACTTTTCTATATTTAAGCATCGCATCAGAACCACAATGCGCCACGACGTATATAAGTTTTTTATAGATCTTATTGTATTAATATATATAATATTCTTATTTTATAGGTCTTATTGTATGTGCACACGTTATACTCAAATATTATATCATAAAACTAGCAATGCCCGCGGCTCCGCCCGCGTTTAGATGACCAAAAACCAAATTCTTAGGTTTTACATATTAATACACTCTTACATTGCAGTTTTTGTATTTTTTCTCAGAAATGAGACATTTTCTCGCGGTAAAAAGTATCCTATATGTTGACCCGGATGACCAGCTATGACCATACCAAATTTCATCAAAATCGCTCCAGTAGTTTTTCTGTGATGCGGTAACAGACAGGCAGACAGACAAAAATTCTAAAAACTATAGATTCGGCCTCTGTATCGATAATAATGTTTATTTCAATAAGATTTTCCAAAAAATATTTAATGTACAGATTCGGCTTAGTTACAATTGTATTATATGGATATATTATTAGGAAGACAAACTGGTTTAATTAATATTTTTTGAACGTTTTGAGAAATTATTATAGTACATCTAAATAATACCAAATCTAACGTTTTTGACCGATTTCATAAAGGAGAAGGTACCCAGGTTAGAAATAACTTTGTAATACGGTGTACCTATTTACTGAAGAAGTAATTAAAAATACTGTTATTTGTATTTTATCGTTCAGCTCTTGAGAAACA